AGGGAGCCAACATCCGGATGTGTTGGGATTACGGGGGAGATGGGGGGGGGTTCTAGCAGGCCTTGAAGGTTTAGGGTTTAGGGTTCAGGTTTACGATTTAGGGTTTAGGCCTATTAAGCCCTAAACTCTAAAACCTAGAACCTTAAAGCCTAAACAGCAGGCAAGGTTGATCTAGGGGATGTATAAGAATTCCCAATATGTTCCGGCTACTGCTCCGTGCCGTGTAGGGCTTAGGGCTTAGGGGATGGATGATAGGGATTGTGGTGTCGGATTTTAGGATTTAGGGATAAGAGATAAGGTTGCAGGTTTAACGTTCCACGTAGGGCCCTAAACCCTGAACCGTAAAATCTAAACGTCCTAAACCCTGAGCCTTAAACTTTATTGTGATCTAGAGTGGCGTCACGGATTGATCTTTCGGTTTCATTGCCCTATTCCCTTTAAAGCGCCAGACCGAGACTGTAGACCTTTGACTCCGAATCCTGTACCTTTTACTAATCATGTGTGTGCTTACGTATGTGGGGTTTCCCAAAATTAGGGGTACCATTTTGGGGGTCCCCATAATAATTAATAAGGACTATAGTATTTTGGGGTGTATATTGGGGTCCCTATTTTGGGAAACTACCATGTATAGAGGGATCCTATAATATGCACGTATCTACACATGTCTATACATGTTTGTTATGTGCCATCATATATGACATGCCTGCGCTACAGAACGGAAGGTGTAAGAGGTTTTTCGCCAAGCTGCCTGCATAGGTCGTTGTCTTAAGGGGGATTTCCATCAATAGGGCTCCTAATGTTGCCACCAAATACTGTAATCAACCCTCATTAAAGTAACTCTCCAGGGTTTCTGGAAACCCGCGGATCAAGTCCGAGCAGTCGAAACGGATTCAAAAGCCATGCTTTCGTTAAGGCCTCCTAAGCCCTAAATCCTGAACTGCCTAAACCCTAGTCCTAAACCCTAAATCCCCCTAATCCTAAACCCTAAATCCTAAACCCTAAATCCTAAACTCCCTAAACCCTAACCCCTAATCCTAAACCCTAGATCCTAAACTCACTAAACCCTAAATCCTAAACTCCCCAAACCCTCAACCCTAAATTCTAAACTCCCTAAGCCCTAATCCTAAGCCCTAAATCAACAAAACTCCCTAAATCCTAACCCCTAATCCTAAACCCAAAAGCCTAGACTCCCTAAACCCTCACCCCTAATCCTATACCCTAAATCCTAAACTCCCTAAACCCTTAACCCTAAATCCTAAACCCCCTAAGCCCTAAACCCTAATGCAAGGAATGCAAGGACTTTGCTTAAGGTCAAAGGAGAGTGTCGAGAAAAGGGGCCCTGATTCTAAAAGCGCTGTGCTTTTGGGGGTCTCAGGGTTTTAGGGGTTTAGGGTTTAGGGTTTTTAGTTTTTAGGTTCAGGCGTGTGGGGGGCTCAGAAGACCACATACACATTGGCTAGAATCCAAACTCCTGAAAGGGGGGTTTAGGTAGGGGATTCTATAGGGGATTGCATGGGGGACTGTTTTAGGGGTTACGAAGGAGGATAACTCACATGAGGATCCCCAAGGCATGTGTAGGGTGTAGGGTTAGGGATGAGGGGGATCCTTATGTTTGTCTGCTTTCTGGGTGCCTGGGTGACTTTAGGGTTTAGGGTTTAGGCTTTCTTGTTATCGTTCTGGGCTCTTTGAACGCTGAGAATTGCTGACTGCCTACTTCTCTTAGGCTGAATGTTCAGAATGTCAAGGCGCTCACTCAAGGGGCTAACCCTAAACGCTGAACCCTAGACTTACTGGTGGTTAGTGGGGAGTAGGGACTAGGGAATATATCATATGGGGATTCAGTAGTTTCTCTCATTCCCTATTATCCACCAGCGAGTAAATCCATTGAGCGCCCGAAGCCCTTAACCCTAAAGGGCTTAGGTTTCTCAAGCGGAGGCAGCCCAGCGAGACATGGGGGGTTCCAGAAAAAGAGGGAGTATTTCTGTACCTCCGCTCATTTTCGAGGAGCCCAAAGCCAAATCACCCTCAACCCTAAACTCTAAACCATAAATACCTCAACCATGCAGGATCAGCACCACTCCGCTGTCTAAGGGAATCTGCGCGTTGCTCGTTCTAAATACGACCAGCCTTGCATTCGGAATTCCTGTGCTAGAAAAGCAGGTGGCAGTTAGAAACCGAGGGGCCCCTTTCTGGGGAACGTTGATTATGGAGACCCCAAAAGAGGTATCCCTAATTTTGGGAAACCCTAAACCCTATATACCCCAGATAACCGCTATGTAATTTTGGGAAGTCGTTTATATAATCCCCAAAAAGGGGACCCCTAATTTAGGGAAACCCCCACGTAGATTCAGAATTCGAGACCGTGATCCGGATTCTACGCAGTAGCCAGTTAGATGGCTACAAGATCAACGAGCGTAAGTGTTTAGGGTTTCGGATTTAGGGTTTAGAGATGTCCTAGGTAGGGAAACATTCCAACCATAACCAGATTACATCCTGTAGTGCCTGATTGCCTGACAGTTCCTAATTCGCTTGCATTTGATGCGGTTTAGAGATGTTTAGAGCTTAGGGCTTTGCTACGCGTAAAAGCTCATCAATACACTCCAAGAGAGTCGTGTGGGACAAGCGTTCGGGTTTAGGAAAGGGTTCTTGCCCGTGGGAGAATTTTGAAAGTAACTAACCAGTAGTAGTATGGGCTTCGAAACTTGGGGTTTTACTGTCTAGTTGCTCCAAGAGGTCTGGGTGTTAGTCTGGGTGCTTGGATTTAAAGAGTCGTATTTCCATGGGTTTTGCCTGATGCGGTCTGATGTGTACAAAAACCAACCACCATCCGCCTCCATCATGAAAGGGATCTTGGTAATGTAGGCCCATAATAAGAGAAAAAAAACAAACAAACTTTCCCCTTAATGAGGATTATGATAGGGATCCTAATGCTAAGGCCCTTAAAAAGGAAGGGATTTATTGATTACGTGTCTACATTATTCATTCACTTCCCCAGAGATGTGGAGCGGACGGACTGGACTGGGGTCTCACTTTAGGGGTGAGGGTTTCCGACATGCGCGTATTGATTTTGCGGATGTGAGCCTCTGCGGCCGCAGGGTCTGCAAGGGTTCAGCTACACCCTTCACTGGTGCTTGAGGGAATGTGAGTTAGATGATGCCATTAATTATCCTTACATTGGGCTTACCCTACATACTAAGGGGTGTATTATTATCATAATTATCAGGGGCTGTATTAGAACATGGATCCAAAAAGTGAGACAGTTTGGACAACCTTCCACATGGTGCCCATCTTCTTGCCCCCACCCCCTGAAGCATCAAGTGGAGTTTGAAGCAAGCAGAGTGCGATTCCCCACAGTGTGAGGGTGGTGTTCGTGATGTTCGCGCCTGCAGTAAGCAATTAAACCTATATTGTTTTTGAGCAATTCCGAACAGAATCAAAAAAACAATGGTAGGGAACGAGCGACTTTAAGGGCAGCCGGGCGTTGCAAACACAGCGCAGAGGTCCCTAAGCCTAAGCGCTGCGTCAAGAACAGCACATTTGGGTTCCGGTGGAGAGAGATGACATGTAATTCCGAGGAAATTGACGTAAACCTACGGTTTTTTTGTTGGAGGAGTTGCCCAGTGATTAAAGATCGAACTTCCGGGAGAACCACTGTGTTCGTCTTCAGTTCTGTACTGACCCTCTATTGAAGACTCCTATGACCCCATGGGTCGCCACTCAAATCCCAGCAATCCCTGCCAAGGCGCATGATCAACAGTCGTCGCGCATCAGCAAACCCTAAAGCATACACCCCACATCCTAAACTCTAAGCCCTAAACCTCTAAACCCCCAGACCCTAAGCCTCACACCCTGGCACACGCTGATGTAATGAGAAAAAGCGGAGGGAGGTGCTCCCTTTGTAGTTATGACTCCCTTTTTGCAGTGCCCACTTGTTCCAGCAGCCTTTAGTACTGAACCACCAGGAGATATAGGGGATAATATATTAGGTTTAGGGTTTAATTAGGGTATAGGGGATAACATAAGGGTTACAGGGGATACTATTGAGGGTCTAGGGTTTGAGGTTTAGAGTTTATAGGGTTTAGGGTATACTCCGGGGCCTGCCTGGGGTCGTGATTCGGGCCATCTGCAGGTCGTACGCATCCATCCTTCCAAAAGGCGCCGAGCGGTAGAAGGCGGTTTAGGGTTTAGGGTTTAGGGAAACTCCCCCAAACTAACATGGAAACCCATATAGCCCCATATTGGAGTGGCTGTAGTCTTTATAGGGTCCCTTTTTTTGGGGGGGTTTCGATGTTAGTTTCCAGGAGTGTATGGTTGCAAGTTGTGGGCTGGTCAGGGTATGGGGTTTGCCCTTCTAGGCGGTTGCGCCTTTGGGCCTCTGGGTTCAAAGTGTGATGGGACTCGTTTTGTAGGATTCTTTGTGCCCGTAAAGTCTATGGGGGGCTTGGTTGGATACACGATTTGCCCGATTCAGGGAAGCAATTCCCTTGAAAGGGCTTAGGATTTAGGTCAAAGCAGACATTTGAGGTTCAGGGTGTTGGTGTTTCAGGGCTTCGTAAGAGGGATTCCCGCGGGTTATGCAAAGACTCTACGGGGGCACTTTCGGGGTTTCAGGGCGCTTGGTTGAGGGTAAGGCAACCTCTCGCGAGAGTCCGGGGTACGGGGGACTCCGGGACTCCATGTGGTAATATTGTCATAATGGAAAATGAGATGGAAACTATAATATTTTGAAGCTATATTGGGGTAATATTGGGAAAGCGGCCGATGTCAGGCACATTCATCGTGCCTACCAGAAGCACCAAGGCGCCCTTGGACATCATGACCTGCAGGACAGACGTGCTGTTGCATGGCCTGGGCGCAGCGCTTGTGGACTTCCGTCTTCAGTTCAAGCCCATCTCATGTTGTGCATGCTGCGTTTACTTACATGCCGGCTCCATACGAAGCTCAGTGCAAAGTAGGACCATGTGAATCCAGATTTGCCACCGTGGAAGCCGCTGGACAAAATGTCAGGGCGTACGGGGCGTGTTCCGCCCTATTCTCGTGAGCTGGACAGAGCCACCTACCAATCCTTTGGATCTGGAATGTCACACGTCGTGGAAGTCGGAGACCGAGATGTCCTCCAAGTGAACTTTCGCAAAACGCAGATGCAGGTTCCACAAGCCTTTCTCGGAACTACTGAAGAAGGGTGGAAGCCTAATGAATGCATCGACAATGCCTTGATTGTTATGAATTATGCGGACCTTGCCCGACACCGTGATCCGGACATCTCCGACGACCAAGCAAAGGCATTTTCAGCTAAGTTCATGTTCTGGGAGCTGACGCTGTGGCTCGCGAGCAATGCTCTTCGAGGTGTCTTGTCATTCCACCTGCTCCACTGTGCCCTAGCGAACCAAGACGAACTCCAAAAGAAGGAGAAAATGCAACTTCCCGACAAGTGCGGTGGTATTACAAATCTTTGGCTGCTCTTGTCGGGCCTTATCCTTGTCCTCATCAAGTACTTGACTGAGCTACAGGACATCGTCGTCACACTGGGATACTTCATCTGGTGCCGGAAGATCTGTCACGAGCCTGAGGTTCGAGGTGGAGAGCGTAACGCAGTCAACGAGGCTTACGAAAGTCAAGTCGGCTTTTTGCAAGCCATGCTCATTCTTCTTTGTAAGTTCTGCATTGAGTCTTTCATTGCGTTCTCTTCATTTCGCTTTGTCCTCGTGTCCAAAGACAACGAGTCCGTCGTCCTCAACTGCCTGGCTGCTTCCTTCCTGAGCGAAATTGACGAGATGGTGTTCAGGGCATTTTCGTCGAGGACAGCAAAAGACTTGCTGGACAAGCTTGAGGACTGGAGCGATCGAGATCAAGGTCGTGAGATGGCATGTTGTGAGATGCGGCCACTGCTCCGATGCTTCTTCACATATGTTCTTACTCCGGGGTTGGTGTTTCTTGCTCTTGCTCATTTCCTTGACCCTTCTTTCCTTGAGGTGCTCAGCTGCGTGTTGTTCACTCCGATCACTGAAAACATGGTTGATCGCTGAATTTCCAACGTTTGCATGCGTGCCGTGCAGTCCAAAACGGGCTGGAGGCAGGGTTCCGGCGGGACTGGCCAAAGGCGGATTGCTTTCATAGAGCTCGCAATGGGTGTGGGCGGGCTCTTGCGTGCCTTCTCTAATTGTGTCACTACTTGCAACGTAAACACACACACACACATCCAACCAAGCTTTCAAGACAAGCTTTTTGCCAGCTCTGATCATGTTGAACGGTTCCGTGTTTTGCACAAGTCCAAAACACAAGGGTTCTTTTGGTAGTTTCCCTAAATAGGGGAACCCCAATGTAGACCCCCAAATACTATAGTCCTTATTGTGCGGACCCCCATGCCAAAAAGGTTCCCCTAATTTTGGGAAACCACCTTTTCTACCGCGCGAATCGGTGAGCCTGCTGTATGTGCCGACTCCGCAACTGGCGACGGACAAAAGACAAGTTTCGCATAAGACCAAACTCTGCAGTAATATAGGGTGTAGGGTTTCGGGTTTTTGGTTTAGGCAATACCCTCCCCTAATGTGAGCCATAATCTAAACTCCCTTAGGGTTTAAGATCTAAACTCCTCATGGGGAGTGTTATAGGGATTATACAGAGGACTACTGAAGGGGTTATTATTAAGGGGGATACTAGGAGTTTAGACTGTAGCTGATATCAACTCGCCCCGCTAATATCAAATAGGCCTTACAGTTAAGGGGAACATTTAAGATTAGAGGGGTGTGGGGGTTTCAATATTGGGTGGAAAGGATTAGTCCGACCGAGAGGGGCCCGCATCCGCATTTTTGTAAACGTCATCTTCCCATGCAATAGCGATCATGACAGCTTTCACGATAGTCATCTTACCACCCTTAAACCCTAAACCCTTGCCACTTGCGCTTTTGGCGCAAGGCCGCAGCATGAACAAACCCGACTTATTTCCTGCTTTGTCCTACACCAGGAGATTGACACCTATGTGAGCCATAGTCTAAACTCCTTAGAAGGGGGGCTATTAGGGGATTATGTAGCGTAGGGTTTAGGGTCTAGGGTCTAAACTCCTTTAAGGGGGGTTGAATGCGGGATTATATGAGGGATTATTATATGGGTGGTTGTCAAAATTATGGTCCCTTTTTGGGTCCGTATTATAATAGGGACCCAAAAAGGGACCATTATTTTGACAACCACCCATATGGGTTATTAAGGGGGATGCGAGGAGTTTAGTCTATGGCTCATGTGCATCCGCGTGCTACCTCCACGAGTGCCTTGGAGGATTAGGGTTTAGGGTTTAGGGTTTAGGGCTTAGGGTTTAGGGTTTAGGGTTTAGGGTATCCTAAGCCGCTTGAAAATCACCATGTGAAAAACCCTTTCTGCTCATGCCCTGTAATCCATAAGAGTAGTCAGGTGTATGGGCTACGTAGGGGAAACATGCAAAACTAGGAATCGAAATGAGAAACATGTTGCTAAATGATTTGGTGTAGTAAATTGTCGGAGCCATAATTGAAGCAGGAGTTCTTATGACAGAATCCCATCTTCGACTTTCTTCTGCCTTTGTGGTGTTGTTAGAACCCATCGAACATGTCAAAATGTGAGGATTCCGTTTTTTTTGTTGCCAAGGTTCTGCAACTCAGCCGAAGATCACCGAGGGTCTCATCTTTCATGACGATCAATGCAGCTTGTTGTGCTACTTGAACGGACGCACCATTTCTGGCGGAGACCCTATCCCTTGGTTGAAGCGGAGCGAGGGCGAATTGGCCACAGTCAAGCCGTGGTTTGCGATACCATCAGAAAGCGTCAACTGCCATTGAGACGGATGTAACAATGTAGAGGCCCACGTTGAGCTGCAAAAATCAGCTGCGAAAATCTGCGGCTCCTGCTGCAGGCCTCTCATGCCGTTCATGTGTTATGCAATCAGCTTTTGAAGGGCTACTGCGCAAATCCTGGTTGGCAGCAACCTGAAGGCTACCCGGAGAACGACATGACCTGGCTTCCGAAAACAGGCAAGCGAGCGGCCAGGCACGGGCATGGATTTGTACTGCATGGTTGAATTCTGCACCTGAGGAGGAAGAAGTTTGCGTCGCCACGAATGACGCAGTGACCGCAGACGAGTTAAAGGGCAACTAGCCGACAAGCTGACGTGCTCGATGAGGTCAAGCATTTCGAGAGTGGCGAAAGGTTAGCTAACTAACCTAGCCTCACCTTCAACTCATTTGAAGTGTGGAGAGTTCGGACGTTTCAAGCTTGCGAGGGAGCATACAGGCAATCGGCACAGACAAGTGAGTGAAAGGGCGAGGAAAGTACCGTTTGCAGATTGTCCATGATCTCCTTGCCCTCCGGGGTTCCGATGGGAGAAGTGCAAGGTTGATGAATGG